TTGGACTCATAGTGATCCACCTGTTTACAGCCTCCCAAGAGTTGGGATTACAGGCATGCACCACCATGCCCAGTCTCAGTTGCGGTCTCAGTGCACCCCGGGGTCAGGGCCAGCATGGTAGGCCCGGAAATCAAACCCCCAGGCTCTGTGCCTGCTTGCAGGTGCTTTAATCCACTGAGCTATTTGGCCAGCCACCCTCCCCCCCCAGCAAATTTTAAAAAACAATTTTATAAATGGCTAGAGATGTTCCTTAGTGTAAAGGTACTGAGTTCAATCTCCAGTTTTAAAAAAAAAGGAGAGAGGAGAGAGAGAGAGAGAGAGAGAGAGAGAGAGAGAGAGAGAGAGAGAGAGAGATCAAACAGAACTTAGTTGGTGAAAATCAATAGACATGTCTCATTCTTGGCCCAAAACAAGAATAACCTTTAGCCAGTCATTAATGAGAACTAATTAGTTCATCCAAATCCATCTCTGTGACTTCTGTTGTGGAGCAGGTATTGATATTTTCCCTTGTGGGGATGATGACTTGGGGAGATTTCTTTATATCCTAATTAAGATTACTCAATTAGAGTGAAGTTTTGCTGAAAAGTTTTTATTAAGATAAAATTCTACTTTTTAGCCTATGTGACCCATTATATAGCAAGACTTGGTAGTTTTTATTGCTTAAAAGGAAGAAAGCTATAGTCAGTTATCACATTTTAAATTTCAGAAGTCTAGCCTTTTAGGGAGAATAGAAAAAAAACATGAAATTAAGGGCATATGTACAGAATAGTCCATTGCGAAGAATTTAATAAGTTTTTGTCCTTAAGCATCACACCAGCTGGACTAGGTAAAGCTTACCAGACTGGGGCAGAATGAAAATGTTAGAGATGGAAAGAATAAGAGCTCTGACCTCTGACTCTGCCCCGATTTCTCCAGGCCTACTTGGGAAAGGCTGGATGATAAATGTTCCCAAGAAATTTGGGGGATCTGATGGTTGAAGGACTGACACGTCTTTTTACAAGCAGTGCACAGGAAAGTGACAAAGGCATATGTGTCCTTTGCGCCCAGCCTTGTGGGAAAGCAAAGAAGTCCTAGCGTGACTCACCAGGCATGGCCCAGAAGCTTGGATGTTATCCGCCCTTGAAGCAGACACCAAAGCAAATCACTTCTCATACACTCGAGAGGGCACAGAAACCAGCAGAGATAGAACCCACGAGTGTTAAGATGTTCTTGCTACTTGGGAAGAGAAGACAAGTACTTAGACATCTGATTAGCATAAGACCAGAGCTTAGGTCCTAACAAGCACCAGATGGCTCCTGTGGCGCTGGAGCTCTGCTAAGACCTCCTGGGATTTAGCTCAGACTCCAAGGATTGGGAGGTGGCTGTAGGATTGTTTATATGATGGTTCCTGCTGCCAATCCATTTGGAGATTCAAACTTCCAGAGGCTATGGGAAAGAAATTTCTGGGAAACTTTATGATTTTAGCTTTTTCTAATTTAGAACAGTACAGAGTAGAAAGGGCTAAAATATTCTCCTAGCAGACATGTGATTATATCCTTTGCTTGGTAGTTCTGTAACTAAGACCACTTGGTAGGAAGCTGCCCTGTCCTCAGATGTCAATGGAAGATTCAGTTCCAGTTGCACCTTGGGTACACTGTTCCCTACTCTTATCCAAATGGGTCTGTTAAGGTTGAGTGTAAGAATGGACCCCAGGCCCCCACCCATGCCAAAACTCTCATGTTCTCAGAGTCTGGGCTGTTGGAAAGTCATCAAATCATAGGGCCAGTATACTAATAGCCAAATATCCTGTTAGGTGGTGACCTCTTTGGGGAAGAAACCCACTGGGGATATGGCCTGGCCAGGAAGAATGTATCTGTGTCCTCCTCTCCCTCCTCTTCCAGCCTTTTTATTTTCTGCAATACCAAGGATTGAACTCAGGACCTTATGCTTGCCAGGCTGGCACTCACACCGCTGAGCTATCTCCCTAGCTCTCTTCCTGCTTCTTGATCACCATGACACGAGCAGTTTATCTCTGCCTGGTCCATCTCCCATGTGGTTTCTTAGTTGGAGCCAGATAGCCATGCACTGAACTGTGAGATAAAATAAACCTCTTCTTTGAATTGTGAGTCTCAGGTATTAGGTCTCAATGACAAGAAAGTGACTAAAACAGGGCTCCTTTGGGGGCCCCTCCCCCAATATGTCATCACTTTGGAAGAGGCCCTGGCAGGATGGCTCAAATTTGGACTCCTCCAAGAAGAGGCAGCTAACCTATTAGGAGAGGAGTGGAGGGGGCCCTGCTCCTAATCCCCTTGCCCTATAATCTTTAATCTTGTAACTGTTCCCACTCCTCCTTTGCAGGCACACAGACTTAGCAGAAGGTTTCCAGCAGAGACAGTCATCTAGACCCACCTCTCCCCATGTAGCCTTCCCAATCTTTCCATGGTTATCTGGAGCCTGTTCAAAGGATCCGGAGGAGGATAATTACCTTCACAATCGATGCTGAGTTTTGGTGACTCATTCTCCTACTTTCCCAGCCTTTTCAGGTAAGTTTCAGAGACACACGTAGGTTGGAGACAGCACACTAAATGACGCTTGAAGAACTTGGAACTCCCTCAGGAGTCACAAGTAAACTCTGACTGTAATATTTGCCTTCAGTTATTCCTAGAATATGAAATACTTGATGCTCTTTTTTATTTATTTTTTTTTAAATCAAAACCAATCTTGCTAAGTTATCCAGGCTGGCCCTGAACTTGTAGTTCTCTTGGGTACCTGGGATTACAGGAATGAGCCACTGTACCAGGCGGTAGTTGTATTTTTGAGCCCTTAGGTACTAACTCTGACCACAGGAAAATTCTTAGTCTATTTTCCTTTTATATCTGATCTGTTCTGGTTTAGGGGTCAGAAACGTTTAGAATAGTCAGTAGTGCTGCTAGATATGAGCTCACCTATGTTGGCAACGACTAAAATTTTGATGGAAAGTGATATGCCAGTCATTGTGACAGGACAAACTATAACATCTCATCAATAAATAGTTTAAATGGGGGGTAGGGAGAAAAATAAATAAATAGTTTAACTAAGTCAGTGTAAGAACTCTATATAGGAGACATTAAGACTTTAACAATAAGGGATGGGGAGATGGGTCAGTAGAATAAGCACTTGCCTGGCAAGCGCAAGGACCTGAGTTCAATCCCTGGTTCTGCACAAAAAAAAAAAGACTTTAACAATAAAATTAGGAAATTTCAGTATCTTGGATAAACTTACAAGAATATAAATTCTCTCCAAATTATAAATTCAAAGTCCACGGTGCAGGGCATGCTGAGAGGACAATTGAGACTGAGCATGGTAGCACATGCCTGTAATCCCAGCTCTTGGGAGGCTGTAAACAGGCAGATCACTATGAGTCCAATCTAGTAGTGAGACCCTGAACACCCTATAGACCCTTCCTTACAACACAAAAAATAAATAAATAGATTCAAAGTCTAGTAAGATTTTTACAACATAATTGTATCTAAAATTTTAAGAGAAATTTTTTTTTATTTCTTGTATTGGAATAGGTTAAAATCTCCTGGTATTGGGCCAGGGTTGGCAGCATATGCTGTGCCAGCCCTGCCCCCAGGAAGCGCTGAGCCAGCGACCAAGTCCGGGCATGGTGGCACATGCCTATAATCCCAGTGCTGGAGAGGCTGAAAACAGGAGGATCACTACCAGTCTGAGCTGCATAGTGAGACCCTGCACAAAATATAAAACAAAACAATTGAAACTGTACTTCTGATTTGATTTGAAACTGTCTCGTTACTGTTTATCAATAAAATTTTGAAAAAAAATAAAATAAAAACAAAACAAAAAAACTTAAAATCACTTGGTACTGAGCTGCCCATTCAGGATCAAATTGCCTCATTAAAACAACAAAAATAATAGATACATAGATTTTAAAATACTTTTGAAAGCAGCAAATATTTTACTAAATAACTCTTCAGGTCATAATACAAGTGGAAGGTGAAATCAAGAGAGATAGCTAGAACTGAACTCACGCTTGCCTTGAGGGTTCTGAGCTAGTGGAGTGCTGGGTATGAAGATCTGACAGAGAAAGGGGAAACAAATGAATTCCAGGGCCAGCCCAAAGTGAGGCTCTTGCTATGGACTGCACCCTATAGACCCAAAGCCCTGTTATCCTGAAGAAGCCAGCGTTCTGCTCCCCAAAACCTAAGGGGAAACTTGGCTCGGCACTGAGAAAAATATACAAAAACACTTCGTATTTTCTGAACAGTGATAATTATTACCTGTCACCATTCAAATCTTGAGTCCAAATTCCTACTAAGTGGTCAAAAACATCTCAAGCTGTGAAAAGATGAGAGGAGCATGGTGGTTGAGAACTGTGGGAGACAGGAATGTAAGAGCGAGGGATGCAGAGCTCGGTAGAAACGAATGCAGGTAAGAGAAGTTGGAGTGTGCAAGAGCACTCGAGGCTGACTATGCACAGTGAAAATGGACTCTGTATTTCAAGCAGTTGGAATAAGGACTTTCAATGTTCCCACTATATACCAAAAAATAAATGTTTGAGGAGACAGATTTTTTACCCTGTTTTGGACATTACACAATAAATACATACAGCAGAAAAGTAGAAA